AATATAAATACAAATATTGCAAAAATATAATCCTTATTTTCAAATATTATCATATTAAATTTTATTTAAATATTTTATAATTAAAAAAGTAGATCAAAGACATATTTATAGTAATTATACAGGCAAATTTGTCTGCAAATTTCTACCAATTAAGAGATAATAACAAATCTTTTAATATTTTTAATTATTTAAAAGAATTGTCGCAGATAATCGTGAAATTGGATGATGCTGAAATTCATGTAATTACATGATGATCTTCACTATTATATAGTAAAAAAAAAATTATATTATAACTAGATTTAGTGTTTAGTAAATCTACTTTCATGTACTAACAAAAATTGTTATTTAGATTGAGACAATTCTAATGATAGTAAAATCATTAAAAACGACTCACTAGATCATCTGCAATAGTTCTTCAAAGTTTAAATCGCTGTTTTATAACTTGCAAATTATAAACAAAAGTAAACAAACATTTTAAACTTTGAAGAACTATTGCAGATGATCTAGTGGGTCATTTTTTATGATTTTACTATTATTAGAATCATTTTGATCTGAAAAACAACTTTTGTTAGTACATGAAAGTTAGGTTTACTTAACACTAAATCTAGTTTAAAATATTTTTTAACTTTTACTATATAATAGCAGAGATCATAATGTAATCATGTGAATTTTCAGCATCATCCGATTTCAGAATTATCTGCGACAAAAATTATTATATCTTGAACCAGTGGTTATAGTTAACTATAATAATAAATAGTTAATTATAACCACTTAATTTTTTTTTAAAAAAAAAAGTCTTACAAATATATTTATGTGAAATTGATCATAAATATATATTTACATGAAACTGATCATGATCAACTATAAAAGTTTTTTTTGGGTAACACAGCATTTTTCTATCATAATGAATTTTAATACTTGTAACGATGATAGTGAGATATTGGAATTTTGGTGTAAATAGCTTTGATCAAGGTTTATACTAATTTAGTGCTATTAAAGACACCTATGTTGGCTTATAGTTGTGAAGTGCTTGGCTTTCCTAAAAATACTGTATTAAAGCCACTTCAGGTTAGTTGAAATATTAGTTGAAATTAGTTCAATATAATAGTCAATATAGTTAATACTAATTCAACACTATTAAAGGCCCATTATTCTTTTGATATATAATAAACAACCTGGTTTCTCTGAAGATACCATTATTTTACCTGAAAGTGTTGGAGCAACTAAGCTTGATTCAGAAGGAGGGAGAGCATTAGCAAAAGCACCTTATAAAGCTCCTGGCCTGACTTATTTGAATCATGGCTTATACCCAACTCAAGTTAGTTAGATTTTTTTTTACAACGTTACTATTAAAGTGTTATAACAAGAATACTAATTATATTATTTAAACTCTATTTAGACCCATTATTTCTTTAATATAAAATAGGCTAGCTAATTCTTCCAATAATGATTTATATAAAAACATTAGATCGAATGAATCTACTTCTTTAAGTAATGTAAATGAAACTGGCTCTTTTATAAGCAGTAATTTACCTGATAGCACTAATTTAAATCCATACTAGGTTAGTCAATAGTTAGATATAATGTGGTTAATTAAGATAACAAGCATTTCTAATACAAATTTAATATTATTTAAGTCTTATTGGTCTGTAAATAATATACTTGAAAGTACTGTTACCAGTTTGTCTAATTTTCTAAGAAGTAGGCTACCTTTGGTTAGTTAAATTTTAATGCAATTCGAATTAAAAAAAATTGATATGTCAATAATATACTTCGATGCAACTTGATATATCAAAATTTTTTTAATTCGATACTATGTAGGTGATGTTATTTTTGTAGTATTAAACTTAATGACTATAAATTCTTTTGCTTTTTAGGAGCATAATTATCATTCAGAATTAAATCTTTTGAATATAAACTTACCAACCTTTTCAGAATCTATATTTGATGGTTAACAAGATATCTACTACTTACAACTTCAAATCGAATATTAAAATTTTTTTAAATTGTCAGATTCTAAAAGTGATAGTATAAATATTGACAATCAGCATAAATATAAGTATTGTATACATGTTGATGATACTTTTAAAACATTTAAAGAAATTGGAAAAAAACTTGACCGATATGCAATAGAACCTGGATTTGCAGTTAGAAAGGGATATACTTGTACACGTGATAATAGGTTAGTATGGAATGCAACTTGGGTGTGTTATTTGTCTAGACAATGAAAACCTAAAAAAAAAAAAGATCTTGATGATCAACATAATTGTGATGTGGCAGTTACAAATTGTAAATAGCATTGTAATTTTTCAATTGGTAATACAGCAACAGAAATTTGCTGTTTTTTATTTGATAATGATTCAGTTCACAATCATCTAATGGATAGTAATATCAAAAGTAATACTCCAAGATATTGCCGATTAACCGATGAAATGATTAATAAAGTTAAATTATACCACAAATGTAATATTTAACCTACAGTGCGGACAACCTAGTCCCAACCAATAAAAATTTTAGTGGCCAAATTCAGATTTTATTTTTTATATATATAAAGAGGCCAA